TGGTTCATACCTGTAATCCCAGCACTTTGGGAGGCCAAGACAGGTGGATCATGAGGTCAGGAGATCGAGACCATCTTGGCCAACACAGTAAAACCTTGTCTCTACTAAAAATAGAAAAATTAGCCGGGCGTGGTGGTGCATGCTGTAATCCCAGCTCCTCAGTAGGCTGAGGCAGGAGAATCGCTTGAACCAGGGAGTTGGAAGTTGCAGTGAGCCGCAATTATGTCAATGGACGCCAGCCTGGCAACAGAGCAAGACTCTGTTTCAAAAATAAAATAAAATAAATAAAGAGACATTTTGTTCTACTGGGCAAAATATGAAGTGGTGCAGAAGGCAGGAGAAAAATTGAGAGGCCAGCTAGCTATTGTAATTTTCTGGGTTAGCAACACAGACTCAAACCAGATGATGGCTTTCCTACATAGCACGCTGATCTTAGCTCTGTCACAGAACTGATGGCAATAATGATATCATTAAAAAGTGGCCATTTATATCTTTCTCCTCCACTTTTCCACTCTATAACCTCAGATACAGAATGAGGGAACTGGCAAGGGGGGTGTGGAGCACAGTACAGCTGGGAGAAACATTTCAATGAAAAAAATGATAGAAATAAGTCCAAGATTGCTGTAAAATGGGGTTACTAAGTTGGAACCCTTACAAGTCTGTGAAACCTTGTGCAAAATGTATACATTGGACATTTTCCATGGAAATGACCCACAGATTTGTCAGATTGTCAAAGGAGTCCAAAAGTCTCAAAGAAAACAACCAGATAAGCATCACTGACTAATTGGGAAAGGGGTATTGCCATTTATGGAATCACAAGTGTTTAATCAATTTGCTACATGGTTGTATCAGATAGTTGGTATAAAGTGACCCCATCTCTAACTTCTCAGACAACTACATTTTTAACAATTGAATAATTTCTTGGTATCTTATGATGGTACTTGTACCAAGGGCAGGTAAACCAAAAATGTTAGTCAATTGAAATTGAGAGTTTCTCAGAATTATTTAGCAACATTAATAAACACTTCTCCTTGGGTTTAAAAAAATATCTCCTTAATATGTAAGAAAGACAAAGAATAAATCAAGTGTTATGTACATAGAAAAATACATTTAGGAAAACACAGAAAATTTTTAGTTTCTCTAGTAATGAGGAAATTCAAACTAAAATAACCATGAGTTTCTACCGTATCTGTTAAATTAAGAAAACTAACCAAGTGATTTTTTTTAAGTATTAGCAGGATTCGGGGCTGAGTGTTGCATCAGCACATTTCTGGTGGCTTTGGAAACTGGCCAGTCCTTCTGGAAAGCAACCTGGTATAGCTTAGGGATCATAAACTTTTTCATACAGTTTGCTCCAATAAATTGATTCCATAATCTCAATGATGGGATTATGAACCAAAGGAATAAATGTTTATAGCTTGTGATGGCAATGCTATTCACCATAGTGAAAACAAAATAGTAACCTAAATATCTCATAATAGTGAACTGCACCAGTAGTGTATATTTAACAGATACTGACATGAATATGATATATAGCTGATGGAATTTAAGTATATAGAACTATTTATACAAAATTACATTGAGTGAAAGCTGAGCACAGATATAGACCAGTTGCAAGAATGTAAAATATGTTTGTACATTGATAAAAAGCAGGAGATTGTGCAGTGATGTCAATAATTGGTGCTGCAATTTGGAGAGAAAAATATTTTTTTCCTCTAACATGTGTATTAAATATCCACAAGTCACATATACTCACACAGAGAGTATCACCTGGGGGTGGGGTCACTTGCATAGTATTAAGGGTGAGAGGTGCTAAAACAAACTAGATATGGCCTGCAAAGGATTTTGTACTTCTATATTTGAGTCTTTGTGGATGAACTGCAACCTAACTTAATATGTAGACAAAATTGAAAACCTGACTTAACAGTTTGTGCCTGTAACAGTAGCTGAGTCTTGGCCAATCCCAGCAGTGGTACTTCAGCCACTCATACACTGCTGAGCGTTCAAACTGTGTTCAAATAAAGCAAACACTGAGCTGTAACCAATCCAGCTCTATCTGTACCTCACTTCTGATTCCTGTAGGTCACTTCCCTTTTTTATCTATAAATTTGTTCTGACCATGAGGCATCCCTGGAGTCTTCCTGAATCTGCTGTGATTCTGGGAGCTGCCTGATTTGCAAATCATTCATTGCTAAATTAAATTTCTTTAAATTTAATTCAGCTTAAGTGTTCCTTTTATCAGGTGCATGGGGTATGGACTCTGAAGTCAGACAGACTTACTTTAAGTCCTGAGTTGATTAGTTCTATGACTTTGAATAAAATTCATTCTCTCTAGGTCTCCTTTTTCTCATTTATAAAATGAGAATAATAGTATCTTCATAAAATTGTCATATTAAAAGAGATAAAGAATACAAAGTATTTGGCCAGTAGCAAGGGCTAGACATGTCTTAACTAACATTGTTGTAACATTATTACATGCTTCCATTTACTGATTAATAGAATATTTATGTATTAATATGTGTCAGGCTCTTTTCTAAGAGCGAAAAGGCAGGTCTCCTGGACTAGTTGCCTAGTTTGTCTTAAGCAGGGACTATATCTTATCATTTTCTTGTCTTCTATCTGAAGCACCTAGCAAGGTAACTTGCACAGAGTGCTTAATAAATATCTATTAGATAAATGAAAATATGTTGCTCTTAAGAATGAACAGTTGTCCACCAATATTATTCTTCCTTAGGGAGGGTTTTGTGGTTTTTTTTTTTTTCCTAAGGAAGAGTCATCCTACTGATACTGTACACTGGTTATTGTCTTCCTGTTATTTTCTGAAATCATACTCTTGTTTTACGTTCAAGGAATGCAGAAATCTCAGGAATTCCCCAGGAGTAAGGAATGTGGTCAAAACATGAGACTCAGAATCACCAGCCTGGTTTCAGTGCTGACTGTCTCCTTATACACAGTGTAACCCTGGGCCAGTCCTCAATTCCTTCTGTCTTTGAATCTAGTAAGATTTCATGTTATGCCTGCTTCTCAACAATTTAAAAGGAGCTTCCAGAAATCAACACCTTAGGTAGAAATCCAAACTCTTATTCTTTTATCACAAGTGATCATTGGGGAAGAAAAATAGAGAAGAGAGGGGTAAGAAAATCTCATGCCAGTGACTGAATTTTTCCCATATAGTGTGTATTTCTCTTTATTTGCTGGAAAATTCTAATCAAGGAAAATATTATGAAGATAAACCACAACAGATTAAATAAATAGTCCTATGTGTTTTTATGAAACAAGGCATATGCCAATATAAAATCATCAATACAAAATTTTCAGCATAAGATGGGAGAGGGAGCTAATTTATTTATATATTTTGTTGTCTTTGTTGTGTTGCTTTTTTTTTTTTTTAATGAGTCAGAGTCTTGCACTGTCACCCAGGCTGGAGCATAGTGGCTTGATCTCGGCTCACTGCAACCTCTGCCCACTGGGTTCAAGTGATTCTCACGCCCCAGCCTCCTGAGTAGCTGAGATTACAGGTGCCCACCACTGCACTCAGCTGACTTTTGTATTTTTAGTAGAGACAGGGTTTCTCACTGTTGGCCGGGCTGGTCTCCGAATGCTGATCTCAGATCATCCACCTGCCTTGACCTCCCAGGGTGCTGAGTATAGAAAAGTGAGCCACCATACCTGGCTTTGTTGGCTATTTTTAAATTCTGACCATCAGATGCAGAGTGAGGTTTATAGGCTGAAAACTGTACATTAATCTCCCAAAACTGAGATCTCTGGTTCTCTTCCATATCCCATATTACTTTCATTGTCACTGGGGTCACAGATGTGCTGTACAATAGAGAAGAAAGAGCAGAGGGTCCCCTATGATCAGAACAATGGCTGCTTAAGAGAGTGATGCAAATGTTTAAGTATAAAAACCAAGAAAAGGCTGATGAATGGAAGGTATCTTACTGAGGGCTGCTTTCCTGTTGCCTGGCTATCTGAAATGGTGACATGTGTCCTTCAAACTCCAAATGTCCTTTGTCACAGACCCTCTTTTGTTGCCAGATCACGACAGCCTTTTCATATCCCAAGTGTTCCAACAAAAAAGAATCAGATACTTTGACTTGATGGAAAATTATTCAGACATTAAGATGAACAAAAAATAGTCAAGCACGGGAAAATTTTCACAGTACAGTACTGATTAGAGCATTCTATATGAAGTGGCATACACAATATAATTTAACTATTTGTGTTGCCATATACTTGGAAGGTATTATAAAGGAATGTATACTGATATTAACAATGATTACTCTGAGTTATGAGATGTTTTGCTTTCTTTTTTAATTTATCACATTTTTGGCTTGAACATTCCTTATGCTTTTGAATCAAAAGTACAATGAGAAATAGTAAGGCACTTCTGTTTAAAAGGGTATAATTTTCATTTTAACAGGGAACAGGTTTTATGGCTAGTGGTAAAATAAGGATGCAATTAGGTAAGTTAAAAGTTCTGTATTACAGAGGCCTGATAGAAATCAGGTCAAAAGAGTTAGTAGCAGATTACATAGAGTCAACGTTAGATGAGCACTCATTGTTTTACCTCTGAGACCAGTATGATTGTAAAATCTAGAGTAGATCTTAGGACTCAGCTAAACTCCTTCCTTTACAGATGAGGAAACTGAATCTAAGGGAAGTAAAGTGATTTTCCTAAGTTCTAGAAGTGAGATACCAGCAGTCTAAGCTTTCTAGACCATAGTCCATTCCTTTTAACACCCTTGCCTCTGAAGCCACCTAGTCCTGGCTCCATTGCTTGTGTACAAATTTGGGTAAGTCTGGGAGATCCTTTCTGATGCAGAGTAATTATAGAGGGTCTATTCTAACCCCATCTAAGGGAAGCTTTGGAGATTGAATTAATTCTAAGACAGCTGTGGGTGTCTGATCTTCTGAAATAAAAATCTAAGGCCCGGGTTCTGACCTGGGATCTGCCTGAAGCCTCTTTTCTGCGTCAAAGATGTCCTGGGGACCACCTGGACTGATAACATCAGACAGCATCTGGAAAAATTCTAGGGACATATTCAAATTTGGATCATTTCCACCAGCTGTCATGGCAATGTAGCAGCACTGTCTCAAAGTCTGAATCTGAGCCAGGAAAGGCCTTAATTCTTGGCTTATTTATGATGTGTTCATCAGAGAAGTCAAAGCACTTGAATGACGTTTTCTATCAACAAGTACATACCGAGTGAGCACTGCTAATGAATTCCACGTCATGCTGAAAACTGCAGACGCTCGGAAGGACTGTAGGACATATTTCTGCTCTCAGTGGTAAGTACACTGGACTGAGATTGGAGGAGCAGCCTCAGGTTTACTCCTAACTCACTCTGTGCCTCTGGGCTTGGGTCGCTGTTGAGAAATGTTAAGTTGTTGAGAAATGTTAAGTTTATGAATATTGCGAAATGGTGAGTGTATGGTAGAATATAATGTTTGCTAGGAAGAAGGATGGCAAGAAAAACCTAGCCGTCCCCCACCCTTTAAGTAGAAAACTAGTTAGGGCATTCCAAAGTGGCGGGACAATGTATAAATATCATCCACCAGTTAAAACAATTCTTTTAGATATCTGCTCCTGCCCCTGTGGCTTCCTCGTGAAGAATACTTCTTAGTTTGTTAGTGGTAAGCGGGCACCAGCTGCCTACTTGGCATATTTTGTGTTATGAGAAAATACCAAACATCTGTTTGTTAATAATGATCACCTGTTCAGAGAGAATAAATGTGTGGGTCAGTGTCTGCTCAGGGCCCTTCAGCCTGAAATGCTGTTGGCCCCTGAGGCCCTCAGCTCAGAAGGCTTCTGGCCTCCCCCACCCCGCCCCCGCCATAGACCCACTTTGCTCTTCTATCTGGGCGTTTGCCTCTCAGTTCCTTCAGCGCAGCCTGGTTGGGGGTCTCTACGGCCAAGCTGGCTCTCGGTAGGTCGCATCTTTAAAGCAAAGGCAATGTGGCTTTATAATACACTATTTCAGAGCAGCGAAAGGCTGAATTGTAGAGATAAGATTAACACACATGACTTTCCATCCAAAACAGTATGGAAGAGGATGCCGAGTTGTCTACCTGATAAGAGAAAGGTCAAAGAGGGTTGGCTTAGGTCAGGTGGCTCTCATGGGGGGTGGCGGGGGTGTGCCTGGGGAGGAGAGATGGGCTTTTCAGTTAGACATAAGTTGGGAAGGATTTGGAGTTGAGCAGCAATATTGGGTGGAAGTATGTCTTGAGCAAGGCTTATGCATTCTCACGGTTAGTATGAAGTAAGCATCCTGAAGCAGTTCACAATGAATGCTGCATTTAGAAGAGGAATTTATTTTAGGGAACTTAGTGTTTGGAAATTCTCTCAACAAAAAGAGGAGTTCAGTGAGAGCAGAGTCAGTGTTTTACTATTTTTGTGATAAGTGAGTCCACAAGGTAGATATTATGTGCCTACTGTGTGCCAGGCACTCTTTTAAGTGCTTATTGTTCATTTATTTTTTGGATCTTTGCAAGAACACTCTAAGTCAGCAAGTGGAAGTACTGAGCAATCAGGTAGTTTGTCCAAAGTCTCACAGCTAAGTGAATGGCAGACCCAGAACTGAAACTAATCATTCAGATGCTCCTTTTCTGTGTCCTAGTATTTCTAACAGGTATTTGTAGAAAACATGGCGTTTGTCTCTAAGAGACATTAACATAAACATCCATAATTTCAGTGGAGCAGACATTAATCTCCTGCTCCATTGAAATTATGGATATTTCCACGGACTCTCTGCTCACCCATCATGATTTTTGGGGTGGTGTATTTTCTATATCTTGCATATAAATTAAAGTTAACAAGGAGCTATTGAGATCAAGGCTAAGATCTCAAGAATCTGTGGTGGGTTTTAGCTACTCAGCTCTGCCTGTGGAATTCTGCTCACACAATCAAGGATGGGTGGGTTTGGCCTGCGTTCCAAGTGAAAGGTGGAATTTCCTCATTCCCATTCTGAAGCACCAAGGCTCTAGGAGATGCATGTCTCCTTCAAAGCTTCCATTACCTCGCCAGTCTTATGTGATGCTCAGAGAGGCAAGCATGACTCCTCATCATTACCAACAACGACAATCAGCAGTTACTGATCACCGCGGCTGGGCCAGATGCCTGGTGCTAGGTGGAATACCAAGATGGGTAGGATAAAACCCCTGCCATTAAGTAGTTTAGGCTCTAGAGACAGATGACCATAATCCAGGGCAACATCTCCTACATGTCACAGAGCATGATATCTCTGCTTCTGGATCTGGCCAGTCAGCTGCTTTTTTTGTTTTTGTTTTTGTTTTTGTTTTTGTTTTGAGATGGAGTTTCACTGTTATTGCCCCAGCTGGAGTGCAATGGCACGATCTCAGCTCACTGCAACCTCGGCCTCCCAGGTTCAAGCAATTCGCCTGCCTCAGCCTCCCCAGTAGCTGCCATGCCTGGCTATTTTTGTATTTTTAATAGAGGTGGGGTTTCTCCATGTTGGCCAGGTTGATCTCAAACTCCCAACCTCAAGTGATCCACCTACCACGGACTCCCAAAGTGCTGGGATGCCACCGCCCCCAGCTGCCAGTCTGCTTCTTGACCATCTCCTGCATAGCTCCAAGGTGAAATGAAGGGAAGGAGGTAGAAGTTCTGGCCAGCAGATGTAACTGTGGTTGCATTCCCCATACAGAGAAGGCTTGAGTCAAATTAGTCAGAGATGATCCACTCTGACAGGCTGACAGTGGATAGTTAGAGAGGGTTTTTGAAATGGTATACAGTCATCTCTCAGTATCTATGGGGGATTGGTTCCAGGACCTTCTATAGGAGCTAAAATCCATAAATGCTCAAATTTCTGATATAAAATAGTGTGGTATTTGCACATCCTCCTGTAGACTTTAAGGCATCTCTAGATTACTCATAATCCCTGATACAAGGTAAATGCTATGGACGTAGTAATGGTACTTTATTGGTTTTTTATTTGTGTTATTTTTTATGGTTGTATTGGTTTTTGTTTTTTTGTTTGTTGGTTAGTTGGATTTCTGTTGTTGTTTTGTTGTTTTCAGACATGGGTCTTGTGCAGTGATGCGATCATGGCTCACTGCATCCTCGATCTCCTGGGCTCAAGAAATCCTCCTGCTTTGGCCTCCCAAAGTGCTGGGATTGCAGTCATCTGCCACCACACCCAGCCTGTATTGTATTTTCTTTTCCATATATTTTTGATGTTGTGAAGGGATGCCAGTTTTGGTGGTGGGTTGGGGGTAGGGCTTGAATTTCCCTATCTGTAGTCCACTTACTGATTGCTGTGTTTGCTACCAGTGTTCCTACAATAGAACTGTTCAGTGGGATTCCAGCTGATGTTGATTTTGCTTTTTTAGAGCCTCCTGTTTCCTTGGATCTGAAACCAGCACTTCCCTTGCTTTACAGTCATAGCAATTCCCGATCTTTATGGAGACATATCCCCTCCTACAGGGTCCACAGTGCCCTGTGGATCATGGCCATAAAGTTTCATCCCTGACTCCTCCTTGGCTTTCTTTTCAGAAACCTGTGACTTCTGAACCAAAGTCAGTCACCAGTTCAAGGCTGCGATGATGGCATATGGTGAATGTAAAAAGTCGGAACTGATTGTTAAATATTTGAACAGCAAGGGAAACAGGAAGCAATGAGAAACAAAATCACCCTCCAGCTCTGAGTCACAGGACCATCTCCACTGGCAGGCCATGTCAGCCACAGCCCAGGGTACGTGTAATTGGGTTATAGATATTATTTGGCCTGGAGAAAAAGCCGTCTGTCTGAGGATGTTGTATGCCAACGACTTTAACTGGAAAGATAACAGAACTACTATCAAAGACTCTCAAACTTCAATTTCAGTCTCAGAAAGGTCTCAACAGGATGCTCTGGCTAGAAATTATTATTTCTTTGCAAGGGCTTAGAGTCCACCAGTATACCTACATATAGATTGAGCTCTTACTTTTTACTGGCAATGTTTCGTTTTTAAATTTTGTTCACTATTATTTAAATAAGAAATTAAAAATCTTCCGTAATTTTGCCATTGGGCCTAACCACTTACGTAATCACAATGTACATAAAGTATTGTTTTTATATTTTTAATTGTGGCAAAATACACATGACATAAAATTTACCATTTTAATCATTTTAAGTGTATTATTCAGTAGTGTTAAGTATACCCACTTTATTGTGCAACTGACCAATCTCCAGAAGCTTTTCATCTTGCAAAACTGAAAATCTGTACCCATTAAACAATCATTTCCCATTTTCCTCTTCTCTCAGACCCTGAAAACCACCATCATATTTTCTATTTCTATGAAATTGACTCTTGTAGTTACCTCATATAAGTGGAATTATATAGTATTTGTTCTTTGGTGATTGGCTTATTTCACTTAGCATAATGTCCTCAAAATTCATCCATGTTGTAGCACAGGTCAGAATTTCCTTTCTTTTAAGGCTAATATTACATTGTATACCACATTTCATTTATCTGTTGGGGGACATCTGGGTTGCTTTCACCTTTTAGCTATTGTGCATAATGCTACTGTGAATTTCCATAAAGGGCTTTTTTTCCTTTGTTTGCTTTTTAAGACAGAGTCTGACTCTATCACCCAGGCTAGAGTGCAGTGGCACAATCGCAGCTTACTATAACCTCTGCCTTCCAGGTTCAAGTGATTCTTGTGCCTCAGCCCCCCAAGTAGTTAGGACAACAGGTATATGGCACCACACCTGGCTAATATTTTTTATTTTTAGTAGAGACAAGGTTTTGCCATGTTGGCCAGGCTGGTCTTGAACTCCTGACCTCAAGGGATCCACCTGCCTTGGCCTCCCAAAGTTCTGGGATTACAGATGTGAGCCACTGCACCTGGCCCCAATTTACATAGAGTTTTATATTCTACTTTTTAACCTCTGCCATAACTGTGTGTGTATATGTTATTATATATGTAACCTATAAATATAGATTATATATTTATTTATATATATAATTTTTTGCAGCTTGATACATAGTCTTCATAATAACCTTTTTAAAAAATCTGTTTTAATGGCAACATGACAGTCTTTTGTGCTCATGGACTTAAATAATTTCTACAGTTGGACATATGAGATGTTTCTAGTTTTTCTCTAAATCCTATGATAAAAATTTTGTACCTATGATTTTCCTCCCTGCCCCCATATTTTAGCATACCATTTTAGATAAATTCCTAGTAAGTCAAATTACTGGGTCAAAAGCAACATACATTTTATAACTTAAAAGGCAAAAGATAGAAAGCCACATTGCTTTCTAAAAGAATGGTATTTGCCTAACTACACTAACAGTGTGTGTGAATTTCCATTCCACTCTACTCACAGCTTCATTTTTTTCTTTTTTACATTATGTGATTAAAGGGAGGAATATGAGAGCTCATTCATTTTTAATGGGGACAACACTTTATTAATAGTGATGGGCATTTGTGAGGAAACCCCAGACTTGGCCAGCCTGTGAATACCAGCATGGTTACAATAAACTGAAAAAAATAAAATATACATATATATGTATATATATGTACATATATATTTGAACTACTATGTATTATGAATATAATATATGAACTGAAAAAATATATCTATTTGATATGGGTATGTATTAGAAACATGCCCAAATAGTAAGTAATCCATAAATGATAGCTACTGTTACTGTTGCTGTTATTATTATTGCCCAGCAAATGATGATTCTTGGTCTATACCTGTTTTCCCAGGTTCTTAGTTTCCCCAAATCATGATTTCCCAATTTTTGGGCGGCATCCCCAGTTAGGTGGTGTCTTGGAACAGCGTTTCTTCCCTGTGAGGCCTTTCTACCCAAGCCCTCTGCCTCTAGCGCCCTCTACGTGGCACAGCTGTATTCTGCTGGTGGCTGTCGCCCCTTAGAGCTCTAGTACTTAGGGTAGAGGGCATGCACAGTGGCGGAATTGTCACCTGGGCTGCAAAAGGGATGCTGCCTTATGCTCAGAGTCTTGCCAATATCTTTATTAACACAGCTCCTTCATTTTTTGGCCCTAACCCCCTCTTTCCACAGAGGCTCAGGCCACAGGGCCTGTGTGTAAAGGGGGGCTGTGTGCCATGCTCCCTGTAGGGAATGGGGCAATGGCACTCCAGAGATGTCCACCTCCTAATCATAGA